CAACAAAGTTAGCGAATAAGCTTGCAGATCCAAAAAAAAAACTGATTTGGATACTTTTGCAAATATATTAGCTCTGGCTGGGAATCTAGGATCCAGGATCTCACTACGAACCACAGACATAAACATTTATAGTACAAATAATTGCAAATCGTGTATTTTAATGTCATAAATGAAACACTTAAATATTATGATAATAAGTTTCTTGTTCGATTAATGCTAATTTACAATAAGATTACTTTACCATTTTCTTAGATATATGAATATTAATTACTTGTATGTTCACAATGTACAATATGTATGTAACTTTTTTCTTAAGGTTAAATTCTGAGAACATTTCGCCGGACCGCCGGCCACAAGGGCACTTTGAGATAACTTTGTTAAGAACTTATACACGAAATAATCAAAATCAGCAATAGATAGTCCACACCACACCTTAGATTTCACGCAGACACACATATAATAAAACAGAAATTTGTAAATTTGTTGACACTCACGATCATGATTATGTAATGTACTTTATTAATAATAACCTCTCGAATATTGATAAAAATTTAACAAAAAAAAAAACCCGGCGCATTTGAACCACTTACAAATGTTGTTTACACAACGCTATAACGGTCTACAAGGTTTTAACAGATCATCGCTTGAATGATATCTTTGAAGTGACTTTAAGGCTTTTATCATTATCCACTCACATCACCAATGTTATCTATCGCATTATTAAACGTAAACGGATGCAATTACAGTAAATATATGTTATTTTAATTGGTTTTTTGCTTTTATGCTTTATGTTTGTCTCTACTATTTTAATATGACATTAAGTAGATAATAAATGCAGCAAGTGAAATTATTTAAACTATATTAACAGAAAAATTATTTAAAAGTAATAACCAATACCAGTGTTAGCATTTTATAATTATAGTCTGTTTGCTCAGACAGTGTCGGTACACCCTGTGGCACACTTATTATTTTGCTTTTATTTTAATATTTTTACTGTGTTTGTTACTGTCAAATAGTATTCTATTATAGTTATTGTAATAAAATATGAATACAAATAATAAAAACAAGTATAGTAGCAAAAAAAACTTTCATTTCGGCGCTCCGTTTTAAATGGCAAATTCTTCTTCGGGTGTACCGCCTTTGATGTTGCAGCGAAGCCTTTGACAAAATGCGGCACGTACCAAGGCGACGCGACACAAAGGCGACCGTATCGAAGCGAACAGACTATAACTGAAAATAATTTTACCTGCTTTAATTCTAAAAGACATTTGGTTAATATAGACTTACTAAATGAAATATAAAAATTAACATGCAAATTGAAAATGTGTTACATTATTGCTTAGTATACAACTATACAAATGATTGCAATATAAATACAAAGAATTGTTAAATAATAAATAGATAGTCACAAGGCTGAACGTTAAAAATAAGTACATAATACAATAATTCAACAAAAATAAAATTTAAGAAATGTAATTATGTAATCTGTAAATGTCGTAAAAATGTGACGCAACAATTTAGCTTAAAAATTTGCGTACAAAACTAGAGCCCCAGCATAGCACTTGAGAGGGAAGGAATGTAAAATGCGGCATTGTTTTCACGTCAGATGATAAGATGTGACATTTTGTAAAAATTGATTTCTAAATATTTTTCAATTAAAATTTAAATATTAATTGAAATTAATGTATTCATTAGTTTTCTTGGTGATTTGATTTGTACATATTATGGAACATAAAGAAATTATTATCATTAAATTTAATTTAGTAAAAAGAAAGTAATTTTCCTAAACACAAGTTGGTAGTAACCTTATTATTGTATTTGAAGAAAATGATTTATTAAAATGAGCTAAAATAACTTTTTGATGTTTTCTAATCATTAAGTTATAGGTATATAACTTAATGATTAGAAAATAGGTATAGTTATAGCTACATAGTAGGTAAGTATTTTATAATTGACCCAAAAACCTTATTTCGAAACAGCAGTTCAGTTTTCGGTTCAGTTTGTTCATGCTAGGGCTAAGAATGTTACTTTGTATATTTATTATTGCTAATTTTGGTGATGTAGTGTTTTACAACGATATTAGGCATATAGTAATACGAATACAAAAATAAATGGAGTGCAAAGATGCGGGATTTCATTCGTCTTAATCTTTTTTCTGATACTTTAACACTAACAACCGGAATTATCTACAATGGTTCTGATTCTACGCTTTATAAAATTTACATCTTATTACGTTCATTCAACAATGAATTTATTTAATAAAATTATTGATAGTTTGACAAAAAATGAGTGCTTTAATAAAAAAATGGATCAATTTGTAATAAAAGAAAACAATCAGATTAACTACTAACAAGCTTAATTTTATGTTTATGAAAACATAAATATATGTCGTATAAAAGTTTTAGAATCGGAACTAGAGCAGTAAAAGACTTGTAAAAGGAAAACAATTCCTTTCCCTTATTTTTTTTTAATCACTAATATTTATAGAACACAAAACTCTAATAATGTTGTGGAGTTTACTATATTGGATCACTTTTATAAGTCATGATAATAATTTATATATTTTTTTCGTTAAAAGGGTATTAATGTGCTCTAGTCCTTATTCTAGGACAAAGATGAAAATACAACTTACAAATTTGTTGCTTTTATATGCAACTAGTATTAAAATAAAATATCCTTAATTAGAAATATTACTAGCATATTATAAAATAACGTGTAAACCTACGCAGACTTTATCGTACAACTATTTAAATTGACAAAATGAAATCATAATATGAACTTTACTATTCAATGTTATCTTTTTTATATTTAATAAACGAAACTGATGAAAGGTTTTTATTACTTGTGTAGACTATTTACATTATTTAGTAATATACTAAATTATGTGTACTTAATTTCACCAATATGGGATCTGAACGCCACAACTACGAAACGAATTTATGAAATGTAAAACAATCCTGGTTTTCAACTTTGAAGTGCAAATCTTATTCAAATTATTTGATTTAAAGGAAATAAAAACTAAATAATAATAATAAATTTGAAGCGTTTGCTAAACGACATTTTTTCGACCTTACTATACTAATGTTAAACACTCGCTGCCCGTAGATGGGGAAACAGGACGCCGCCTGTTGCACTTTGCGCTCTCTGTCGCACGGCAGGCCTGCCGTAAGGCCCGTAGTATTTAACATTAGTATAATAAAATAATTACAAAATATATACTCCATATTATTTATTAATTTGTCGCTCAGTGCATAATATTTTGAGAATATTCATCGTTATTGGGGTCAATTAACGATTATTATAATTTTGTTCTTTTGTAATATATCACAGCATAATAGTTACCAGTTTTTAACAAAATAAAAGTCTCAATTTAAAATGAATAGAATATTACAAATATATATTTTACTTTTCCTATATGTAACCACAGGACGTAAGTTTTTTCAACTTTTCTTAGAATAGAGTTATTCTTAATGCATCTTTTAAAATAATTAGAAAGTTCCATTATTTCTTCTCGCAGATAAACTTAATTTTTGCAAACTTAAACTTATTAAATAATGCAATTTCAAAGTAATACAAATATAGAAAACAGGTCTTATTGAATACTTTCAGCTAAAACGATGAAGAACACTGTATTGTTTACAAATGAATTTACAAAATTAAAAAAGTACTCGTCACCATTGGTGATAAGTGGGCTGGTGCAATTCTCGTTCAAAGGTTAAATATAGCCATACAGCGAAGAAACGCAGCCAGCGTTCTTGACACGATACCGCGAGGATTAGTACTGTATGATAATTTAAGTTTTTAGGTTATTTTATTAACAATAAGAAAATTAAGATAATCCTTATAGCAGAGTCTGATAATATAATAAGATGCATTTGGTCAATTTTTATATGCATTTTTGCATTGGAACCCCAGTCTTCGAGTTGTGGCATACTCGATTCCCATAAGGGCACGCAGATAAAAACATAGTGAGTGACATATTATACATACAGCTTATTAATAATAATCATAAGTGTGTATATATTACAGAATATTTACATTTTAATCGTGGCGCTCGAATAAGCATTTATTTGCCCGTACGTTGCTGATGAGCCGTTAGGAATCACATATTTTACAGAAAATTTCATATCAAATTTATTTTAAAAGCACCTTAACTCGTCATTACAAAACATAGTTTAATATCATACTTCGGTATAGCCCTGCTAAGATGCTTATAACTTAAATCTGCTCAATACGCTGCAAACGCGTATAGTATTTCTAAAAATAGTGACTTCAATTACATAACATAACAGTGTTTGATTACGTAATAACAAGTATCTATGGTTTATTAAAAGTAATAAATGATTTATTTGCATACATGTGATATATGGCTAGTTTGATAATTATAAAAACCTTAAACAATTGCTTAGGCAGTAAAAAGTACAGTGTGCCTCTTCGTTTGCGGATCACGTTTGAGCATAATTAAGGGCAGCAGTAATACTGTGATATTAAAGTGGCAACACCTAGTGCGGGAGTTATTTTGCTTCTTTATATTCTCACAAAAGTTAATTGAAGTTGACCGAAGCACATGCGGACACCTCGTGTATGTTCGGCTTTAAGATCACAAGCAATATTTTTTGCAATAATATTTATTGCAAAAAATTTTTACTGAATTGAAGTGAATATGCGGTTTGTGTTGCCTGTAGTCTGTAGTTCAGTTTTTAGGGCAAACCTATCGGCTAAATATAATAATTTTTATCTAGTTTCTCTGTTTTATGACGTGATAGTCATTAAATATAAGTACGCGATTGCTTTAAATCTTTGAAAATTCCGTTTTAAGCTTTTGTGTCATAGAAAAAAATTGCTTCGGCCAAATCCATTACGATTCTTTATAAGATCAATTGGTGAAGAAGGTAAAGTGAGCATTACATCATGTACGCAACGCGACGGCAGGCAGGGGGGCGCGAGGAGGGCGCAGGGCAGGGGGGCGGCGACGGCGGGGGCGCCCGGGCCGCGCGCCGTCATACGCCATCCAGCTGCCGCACGCGTACGTCTTGTGACGCACACATGTCCGGGGCGAACGGTAAACACGTCAAGTAAGCACACAGCTTACATTCGTACGCCGGCGCTGCGTAAAATAGAGCAATCAACGAGCACAGCATACCCGCCGCAGATATTAGACATACCCAAACTAAAATGATCTTCTTCCGCCTATCGTACGGACCGAATGTTATGAACGGAAGTAATGCGCACGACAGGAGAAACCCGAAAACAAAACCGAAGAAGTGCGCAAAATTGTCTATCCAAGGTAACAAGCCGAGGAGAAAGAGTGCAAATGCAAGCCCAATTAGTTTCATCATAGCACGTTGAGGATGCTTTAGCAATGGCCACGCTGCTGCCACTTCCACTATTAAGCACGCAAGGAGCCCAAAATGCGACCCTGCTGGGCCCACCTAAAACAAAAGAAATTAATATTATTTTTAAAATTGCACAAAATTCAGGTTGTACGGAGTTGAACTGAAAAGCGTATCTACATACCTCTGCTCGATAAGGTTCAAATATAGCCGACGCCATATTTCCAGCGACCCCGCTACCTAAGTACACTACCGCTATTCTTACAGGTCCAGCCATTTTCTCTAGATCTCTCATAAAGAGCCATTGGATAGCAAGTGTAGCAGCTAGATGCAATAAGCCAGCGTGCACAAACAATGAAGTCCATGCACGATACAGCTGGTCTGGTCGACGTCTCCTCATAAATGGTAACATCCCACACACGTCGTCAAGACACGAAACCTAAAAATATTGATATACTTTATTATACTGTCTGTCACTTTAATTTTAGAGAACAATAAATAAAGTTGTGGAATGTGAAAAAAATGGAACATCAGTAATTAGTTGATTTTTGCTATAATTTCATCATCATCATTATCATTACAGCCCTTCACAAGTCCACTGCTGAACATAGGCCTCCCCCAAGGAATGCCACAAAGCACGGTCCTGAGCCACCCGCATCCATCGACTTCCTGCATATCTTACCAGGTCGTCACTCCATTTAGTGGGGGGACGCCCAACACTTCACCTGCCGGTACGAGGCTGCCACTCGAGAACCTTTCTTCCCCATCGGTTGTCGGTTCTTCGAGCTATATAGCCGGCCCATTGCCACTTCAGCTTACTAATCCGTTGGGCTATGTCGGTCACTCTGGCTCTACTGCGGATATCCTCATTTCTGAGTTTATCACGCAGAGAAACTTCGAGCATAGCCCTCTCCATAGCTCGCTGAGAGACCTTGAGCTTTCTCATCCGGTCAGCAGTGAAGGACCACGTCTCAGTTCCATATGTCATCACTGGCAACACGCACTGGGTGTACAGTCTCGTTTTCAAGTTTTGAGGTATACCTGACGAGAAGATGTGCCGTAATTTCCTGAACGCTGCCCAACCGAGTTGAATCCGTCGATTGACCTCTCGGTCGAAGTTGCACTTACCTAGTCGGACTATTTGTCCCAGGTAAACATACTCGTCAACAACTTCGAGCTTAGTGCTCCCAACAACTACCGGCATAGGTGTGACATGGACATTAAACATGATCTTTGTTTTATCCATGTTCATCTTAAGGCCTATCCGTTGGGAAGCACTATTGAGGTCATTGAGCATAGTGCTTAGGTCCTCCAGCGATTCTGCCATAAGGACTATATCGTCGGCAAATCGAAGGTGAGTGATGTACTCGCCATTGATGTTGATACCGTATCTTTTCCAGTCCAGTATTTAAATCTGTAAAAATATTTTGAGAATACTACTGCAAGACTTCAAAACACTGTAAGCTGATTCTGCATAAATGGAATCATAACTTAATATTCAAAGACATAATAAATTATGTCTTTAACAAATAATTAAAAATTTTGTACAACCGATTTCAATATAAATTATTAAGAATAACTCAAAAACTATTGGTCAGACCTTGATCAAATTTATTTGGGACCACATGAGAAGCAACAGCTTTCAAATAAAATAAAATCATCGAAATCGGTTCACCCAGAAAAAATTTATGAGGTAAAACATATTAAAAAAAACATACAGTCGAATTGAGTACCTCCTCCTTTTTGAAGTCGGTAGAAAAGGTAACCATGGCATTATGGCATTTGAAATGCCAGTAATAAAATAAAATTAAAAATATTGGGTAATCCAAAAGTGCACACCACATCGTTTATTTGTCACTTTTTTAATGATTCGTTAATAATATTTCATATTAAATTAACCTGTAATAAAAATGCTAATAAATAGAAGTGATTTAAAAAATAGAACCAACTCTGCATGGTTCTGAAAATAGTGAAAAAAATAATTAAGGCATTCCATCAAGTAGATACTTTTTTTTTGAGTTACATGTTAACAGATGGCGACGATAAAAAAAGATAATTGAACTTTTTTTTTCATTAACACCTTTTGCAAAACAGGTGTAAGGATACTAATTTATGGATTTTATCGCGCCTAATTTATAATAAATTTTTCAATATATAAGTTTTAGTAAAGAAATGGCAAAATAATAGGTAACCTGTGAACACAACGAAGCTTCTTCGTGGAAATAGCCTTTGACAAAGTCACAATGTTCACTTGTGGTGATGACGCATTGTCCATGGATTCCGATGCAACAAGGATGAGCGATGACTTCGCAAGCCATGTGCTCGGCTGCGTGACCCGCTCGTCCTACAGGTGTCGTCCCATCTACCACGGACTTGCGACAAATCGGCCACTTTGTAATATCGTCTGGCCACTCGTGTGGTGCTATTGAACGTGGTGCTTCACAAAACCTGAAATTTGTTTGTTTAAGAAAATTAAAACAAATTATAATTGAAAAATATAGAAGTATAATGTACTTCATACGTAGTACATATCCTTCATTACTTCGATGATTAAAAAAATATATGTTTAAAAACATCTGCCATATTGAAATTAGAAGGAAAAAGAAAAATCTCACAAATAATTGTGTGTTGTCAACAAACATTGTATTATCAACAACACTAAAATGTGTGTGCAAAATTACAGCTCAATGGGCCCTAACCCAACTGAAACTGCAGTTCCATTGTGTAACATAGTTGGGAATAATTATTGTTTTAACGTTTGATAGTTAGTTTCGTTGCATTCCTATGTACCAGTACGATGATAAGCCGACGATCTTTTTATATCAATATCTTATTTCAGGTTTCAAAATGTTATTCTAACGAACAAACTTAACGCAGCTATGGAGCGATTCCCACCGGTAAAATATTCCCACTACAGTAACACAATAGTCCTGCTGGTTTAAAATTCAGTTGCATAATTTGAAGTTACATCATCATTTTATATTCGTTAAATATCGTAATGTACATGTTTTTTCAGTCTTTATTGAATTAATTAAAATAATTTTATCCAATAATTGTTCCTCAGTATAAATATGTAAAACAGTGTTTCAATATTTTAACTGACTAATAATTTGAGTCCTAGTACCTACTTTATAGACTTACTTTATAGCTTTTATAACAAACTTAGCGATAACTAACTAACAAGTCTAAGGTAAATTTCAGAAAAAAATAGCTACTCACTTTGGATCTAAACCACAAACAGACCCCGATATTCGACCTCCGGGCCCAGATTCTCCTGATGACCACTTCTTCCATGTTGATATTGTGTCCTTGAAATAAGTATTAAAAACATATTATTAACTGGTGAAAAAATCTAAGAGCATTAATATTATCATTGATTTACATTACTATTTTACACAGATCTAATCAAACCACCACCAACATCCACCGCATCTTCATTTATACTGCCTTTCGAGAATACATATTATATAACAAATATCTTACTAATCAATGAGCATGGTAATAAATTACTTGGATTTTACTAAAATTAAATAATCTAAATTAAATAATAAGTTAATAATGTAACATTTCTCACCTTTGACACTAATCCTCTTATCTACAAACGTAGTTTGCGTGAAAAAATATCAATAATTATTTATAACAACAATGTGCATGGCATTTAAACAGGTGCGTTGGAATTAAAATCAATTATATCTTAACAAAATACCTAGACATTTCAAGGAGGAAGAAGTGGCTGAAAACCAGTGCTTCATGGGATTTCAGTCCCATGTAAGCAAAAGCTAAATCACCTCAGATTGCCTTAATTTAATTAAGTACTTAGTTTATATTTGTTTTACTGATCTCCTGGTTTGATTCCCTTTGCTAACTCTTACTACACCCACAAGACGATATGGGGTAGTAATTTTTTTTTGTAGGAATAGGGTGACAAACGAGCACACAGCCCACCTGATGGTAAGTGGTTGCTGTGGCCCATAGACATCTACATCTGTCCTCGTTTGTGAATCAAAATGCAGATGCGTTGTCACCCGTGAGGACTAAGTTGGAATGTCTCTTTTCCAGTAAAAAGGGTCTAAATATTCTTACACAAAAAATGGTAATACAAACTTTATGTATTGCAGGCCATGATATCTTTCTGGAATTTTTCCATAGTCGCCTCTTACAACTACTTTGGAACGAATTCCGGCAATGGATTCTCTAACACCACCACATAGTATATTGAAATACCATAGGAATAAAATTAATATCTCACCGAGCAATCAGCTTTGGAAGATTGCACGCAACCAGAATCATCGTTTCGTATGCAACACGCTGTATCCCTTTCTCGTCTTGCCGACGCCGCTATTGCACGCGCTATCCTCGCGTCTCGCCTCATACAAGGCGCAAACTTAGCCCCTAAATGTATAAGATCTGCCGCCCTCGGTCCAAGCCAGAATGAAGCAGGTTCCTCCCACTCCACCTTGAAAGGATTGCAAAAATAATTTGTTAATCCTATAAATATCAAGGTGGGGATTTTTCGGCACAACAAAAATAATATTTAAATATTATTCTCGTCGTGCCGGTAAAACATTATATGTGAAAACTAACCGGACATTAAAATCGCAGAATAATAAAATAATTTTTTTTATGTGGGTATTAATTTACTTTTTTAGTTTTTGAAGTCAGTTTTTTTTTAATTTTTTATTCAAAATAACTCAAAAGGCTAAAAACTTAAACTTAAAAAATTTAACCATTTAAATGGACTAAGGAATATCACAAGTTAACTAAGACGGTATTCTGTCTTTTTAAATCCCGTATTTTTTCACTTCTTTAGGAGTGAAAATATGGGGTATTTATACTATTAGAATTTGTAGTAGAAACCAAAGTATAAACTATCTAATAAAAAATAATTTAGCCATTTTTAAAAATCGGCGAACATACGTAAAACAACATACGTGTGTTTACTTCTTTTTGTAACTTCTTTTTTTTTGTACTCCCTTATAAATTTTAAAGTTTCCGCACAGAAAAAATAATAATATCGTTTCCGTAAAACAGCCCACTTTAACAGCTCATTGGTGCAGTGACTAAGCGTTTAGTTGCGGTGCTGCGGGCCGCAAGTTGAACCTCGTTGTTTCATGTTCGCTTTCGCGCAATTAATGTAAGTATTTTACTTCCACGATACATGGTAAGATCCTAGTGTAAGAATAAACTTCACAGTACGGATTTGGATTGGACCGCAATTATTAATTACCACTTTAACACTTTCATTGTCCCGTGACCCACATATGGGTCATTCTTATTGTCTTATTATTGTGTCTGCAAATCGAACAGTAAAAGTGTTAAATGCTGATTTACCACATGCTCGGCGGTAAAGGAAAACATTGTGAGGAAACACGCATATCTGAAAAGTAAAAATAAAATATTTTCAAAGACACCGATACTACCTTGCCCTAAAGCCCTCTCAGAAATGGGAAAAGGCCTGAGCCCAAAAGTTGCACATACGTATATAGGCTGTAACTTTTATTTTCATTCAATAATTACAAAAACACATACATGTTAATTTTTTTTTATATAGAATAAGAGAGACAAGCGAACACACAGCCCACCTGATGATAAGTGTAGGCTGTGGCCCATGGACATCTATGAATAAGAATAAAAATTCAGATGCATTGACACACCTGAAGACTAAGATGGAATGCTTAGTATTCAGTAAAAATGGTCTCCGATTCTCTACACTTACCATACGAAACAGCAGCAGCACTGAACTGCTATTTCACGCTGGTATTCTGTAAGAGCGTGGTCCCTTCTCGGTCGAGCCGACGCATTCGTGCTACAACTATAATATAGCTGCAACATGGTTCTACCAAGTATAAGATATAATAATTGATATAGTTGTAATAGTTCATAGTTACTGGATATGATCAAATCTAAGGCTACGGCTAATTCGTAATCCTCACCCATGCAGCAAACTGCCAACGTACACGAAATACGATTCTATTTAACGACAATCTATGTTTCTGATAGACAGATTTTATGATAGCACAAAAGTATTATTATTACACTACGTGATTATTTCTAATATAGGAATCTAACAATATTGCCTCTCTGTCTGTGTTTAAAATATAAGCATAACTGTTCCCAGGAAAGCATCAACATGATATAGGAATATTTTAACTACACATGAATTCCAAAGTGTATGTCAATATTTTCTTAAAACGCATCTAAAATATACACAAGAAAACTTTATTTAATAATCTACCATTTTTTTGACAAACATTGACTTTAAATGAGATTTCAGGTTTTTGCAGAAAAAGTGCGTGTAAAAACTGTGTACAATTTTTACGCGTTTGTCAAGAATGTTTAATTTTTAGATTAAAATATAAAGTGAAGTAACAGCTTTTAAGGGCGGCTATTAATTAAAACTTAATAATCAGTAAAAGTAACCATGGCATTGATAACGCATCTGCATCGGTTGGGCATACTCAGAATGAAGGTGTCATTATCATTTGAGGAATATTGTCCTAAGTGTCGGACCTGAAAATATTCCTAAAAATATCCCTATAATTCACCGTGTTGATGTGTTTATATAGCCTATAAAAATTAAATTATTATTAAAACTAGGATTTATTAATATTAAATGAAAATTAAAACTAGGATTACAACCCATAACGTCCCACTTCTGGTCTTTTTCGCTTCTCATTTCTGACATTCTGAGAGCTATGGATCAAATAATGCACGGCGCTGCTTTAGTGAGTATTGGTTCATTTTACATATGTCCTCTCAGACGCAAGTCGTAGGGCTTAATGGAGACATCAATCATACATATTTATACTCATTAATTTATTGTGCTCATTTTCGTCTTTTCATTGCGAGAGTAATAGCTGAAAGTCTGTGTTTGCTCTTTGAGCAATATTAATCGCTAAGCTAGGGCCCATTTGTTAAACTGCAACACACATGCACAATTGTATATGTCACTTTGTACCTAGTTTAGTCACTGAATGTATGTATGTGATTGGAGAAACAAATAAATGCTTTATTTATCTACCTGTCGATCCTCCTCCTCCAAAATATTATATTGCTCAGGCTCATGATATATTCCTTTACTATCTGGCACTGTTTTACAAAGCTTAAAATTGGAATAATTTCATTTGTGTGTTTCATAATTTCAGTGAAGTAATTTCACAAAACTGAACTACGTTCGCGAACAAGCACTTAGCCCCTCAACTACGGGTGTATTCGAATATATTTTTTTTATTTGAAACCACACATGGAATAAAATTTATTTAAGGCGTTTTATCTTATAGCTGAAAATATTTGAAACGTTGGGAAAATTGTTTAGATTTTTCTTTAAAAATATGCTTAAACCACTAAAATAGTTATTCGTATTTTAGATTTAGTTATTTTAACAGGTGATCTACTAAAATGGAAAATATCCTGAGCAAACTCTATATGTTTCATGTACCTACGCAAATTAATAAGTAAATCTATAAGTAATAAGTCGATCTGTAATATGTCCTGTTAATAAGTCTTAGGTTGTTTTCATGCTTTTACGACATGAATAAAATTTTTATTATTTTCTCTTTCTGTCTATCCGGCCTAATCTTAGGATAGATCGAACTCATTATGATGTGATTTTTTCTTTTTTTTATATAAGATAAGCGTGACAAATGAGCACACAGTCCACCTGATGGTAAGTGGTTGTTGCGGCCCATAGACTTCTACACCTATCCTCTATTACAAATCAAAATGCAGATGCGTTGTCACCCGTGAGGACTAAGATGGAATGCCTCATTTCCAGTAAAAAGGGTCTCCGGTTCTCTACACTCACCATACAAAACACAGCAGCTTAAAGCTGGTATTTTACGCTGGTATTCTGTGAGAGCGTGGTCCTTCCCCTGTCGAACCGAACCATTCGTGCTACAATAAATATACATAAAAACTCACGCCTGTCACCCAGAGGGGTAGGCAGAGACTATGGACTTCCATTTGGCACGATCCTGACACACCTCTCTCGCCTCCTCCACATCCATATACCTACGCATATACGCTCGTCGGTTAAAGGTACTCTTCTTGATTTGGCCCGTTTTCAAAATATCGCCAATTTGGTCGATAAACTTTCGCCTAGGGCGACCCTTCCCGACTCTGCTTATATTATTAGTAGTATTACTTTTATTGTGCTACAATGAAAGTAATACTACTAATAACAAATTATAACAGTGGTAGAGCCATGCGGCAGCTTTTGCTGTCGCACGGATGGGCCGGCTCGAACCGGAGTGGTACCACGACCTCACAGAAAACCAGCGTGAAGTAGAGGTTTACCTCTGCGTTTCGCTTGGTGAGTGCAGGTGGCCGGAGGCCCTTTTTACCGGAAATGAGGCATTCCATCTTAGTCCTCACGAGTGACAACGCATCTATATTTTCATTTGTAATAGAGGATAGATGTAGATGTCTATGGGCCGCAGCAACCACTTACCATCCGGTGGACTGTGTGCTCGTTTGTCACCCGTATCCTATAAAAAAAAACTATACTACTAGTATAGCTGCAGCATGGCTCTACCACACAATTATAATACAATTGAAACAATTAAAATACAATTGAACTATTTGCCCAAATCTAGTCTAGAAATATAGATCTACAGGTTTTTTCGTTCAAGTTCTACCATAGAATATATAATAGTACGAGTACTATAAGTAGTTCTACATGGACGGAGTCGCGAGTAAAATTTAGTTGTAAATATTTCGCGGACTATTAAAAGCTTACAATAATTATTTGTCCGTGGCGGGAGAGTGGGATAATGCTTCAGTTGTTATTTTTCTGTAACAAAATTTTGGTAGACTTCACAATGTAAAAAATGCATTATGTTCTTGTTTACAACGATTTTATCATTATAGTATACGGTATAGTATATTATAGTATATATATATATATATATATATATATATATATATATATATATATATATATATATATATATATATATATATATAATATACAAAAGACACTTTCTCTTCATACATTCCATTTACAGTTTATGGTGATATCATCATCATCATCATCATCATTACAGCCCTTCATAAGTCCACTGCTGAACATTAGCCTCCCCCAAGTAATGCCTACATCCATCGACTTCCTGCATGTCTTACCAGGTCGGCACTCCATCTGGTGGGGCGTTGCCCTACACTTCGCCTACCGGTACGAGGCTGCCACTACAGAACCTTTTTTCCTCATCGGTTGTCGGTTGTTCTATTTATATGGCCGGCCCATTGCCACTTACTAATCCGTTGGGAAATGTCGGTCACTATGGGTCTACTGTGCATATCTTAATTTCTAAGTTTATCACGCGAAGAAACCATGAGCATAGCTATCTCCATAGCTCGCTTCGCGACCTTGAGCTTCCTCATACGGCCAGCAGTGCAGGACCACGTTTCAGTTCCATAAGTCATCACTGTTTTATAAAATGCGTCAGCATTTTACTTTAA